GCACGTGCAAATAAAGCATTAAAACAGCCGGCCACATATTAAACCAAAGACAGTGAACGAAAGATTGAGGGGCAGAGGGGCGGAGGGGCAGGCGCCTTGACCGCAATGACTCAAATGACGAACGGCAAAGGGCATCCCGCTCCAGGATCGCCATCCCTTGTTGTGGGTCCTGACTTACGCAAACAGTAAGTCAGCGGCCACCCACACACACTCACATCTGAATGGCAAGGACGCACGTCTCAAGTTTATCAAAGAAAAACGAATGGGGGTGAAAAAAAGCAAAGAAAAAAAAAAGAAAAGAAAAGCGAGCACAAAAAGCTACAAAGAGCACGGGAAATCCAAGGAAAAGCAGTGGTAACAGGTCAGGCCACACTTAATTCATTCGTGATTTATATGTGTCGCTTTCGGGGACTTAAAATGTGGTTACAGCTTTTGGCTTTGGCATTCGACTTCAGCTTGGATTTCTGGCTTTGGCTTTGGCTTTGGATTTTGACTAAAACTAACGAAACTATGTGTGCGGTCTGCTTTGGGCGAAAGATTTGCCTGCGCTCAATTAAAAATTCCCCTTGAGCTGCTCAAAATTCAATTGGAATTCCCCTTCGGCCTCAACCTTTACCCCAAAAAATATTTTCTGGTATTTTCGAGCAAAGTCGAGCAAAAGCCAGCAAAACCGCTGATAAAATACATATATATATATCCCTGAGCAGAGACTTTTGGCTAAGCCTGTGAAAACAAGTTTTTTGGCTAGCTGCCGCCGTTCGGCATTTTGTCACTTTGACAAAATTGTTTGGTAGTTTTCTCGCCGGATTCGCTCTCCTCTCGACTCGTTTTGACTCGAGCCCAACTTGTCGTTCAAGTGACATTCAATTATTATTTCAGCCAGGCAGTGCACAAAACTTTCCATCGAAACTCAACTAAACGAAACGAAACGAGACGCTGCGACAAACGACAATATTGTTAGAATGTATTACAGTCAGACAAATGTCCGACAGAAATACGGATACATATCTATAAAGTGGATAGGGGGGCCGGGGGCCAGGGACCCATAATACGTATTTGCGCATTAAATTCAAAACTTTTCAAATAGTTTTGTGCCAAATAAAATCAAAAAAAAATCTACAAGAAAATAAAAACAAAAAATTGCCCATAAGTCTGAAAGTCTTGTGCGTATAGAATAAAATAAAAATGAAAACTTTTAAATTACATTTTCAATGAGAAACGCTGAGACACTAAGACTCAGTTTCCATTTTACGGCTTAGACAGGCATTTTAACTGATTAAAACAAAATTTTGGGAGCTGGAAAGTTTTGCTCAAGAAAGATATTTTATACCTGCACTCGTAGCCTGGTATTTTCTTTTAGTTTTAGAGCACTTAATAGCTGAAATGTCGATAAGAAGCGAAATTTTGTTTAACTGAATAAATGCTGATAAAAGTCAGAGAAATGGGTTTCAGCATTTCACTTTGTTGAATTGATGTAAGTGGAAAAAATAATAAATAACCGCCAGCTTAGTAAATAATTTATTTCCATTGATGAAATAAAAGTCTCAAGTAAATATATTTAAATCCTGGTAAATCAGTCTAATGAATAAATGTAATAATCCTTAAATTAAAACCAAAAGTAACTCATTGCTAAACCTTTTTTAATCCGCGTAAAATATGAGCTCAAAACAATAATAAATATGTCACACTCGGAAAAACCTTAATTCGTGTATTTGCGCTGCACAAAAATCACAGAAATGTTAAAAAGTTCGAGCTCGATTTTGCGAACAATTTTACCCCTGGAGGAGCTTAGGTAAATTCCGGATTGTAAATGCAAATGCGAGTGGGAGTTTCTTATTTTTTCGCTGGATAACTCGTAATTTGGACTCGAGGCTGCCGCCCAAAAAGCGTGCAGCTTAAAATTAATGACAGCGACGTAAATGTCAACGCAGGATGAAAAACAAGCACAACTTTTAGCCAGCCGCAACGTGTGGCAAAAACAATAATAAAGCCGAGTTTTTTGGGGTAGTAAGGTTACTGAGGGTACGAAAAGCGGTGGATGAGGAGGGGAAGGGGGTACGATGCATGGCTTCCGGTTTTTGTTCGCGCGCTGGTATTCGCTGCCACGCCCAGTTCCTGGGGCCCGCCCCTTTTTGGCCAACTCCTTGCCAACGGCATTGCGTGCTCGAGTGTCACATATGCACATTTTATTTATAAACTTGCAGCAAAGTGGAAAATAAAAAGCGACTGACTCCTCGTAATGCAATGCCACCTCAACGGGCAACTACGCTTTTTCGTCCTTTTTTTTTGTTGTACTACTTTTTGCTCCTTTTCACTCCTTTTTACTCCTTGCATGCCCATGCCCGGCGATAAAGTCCGTGAAATGCTTATCATGCCCAGGCCGGATGTGCACAGTGTCAAGCAGCAGCGGCAAAGCGTTTTTATATCCCACGATAGTTTAATGCATAATTGAAAAGCACGCAAAGTGAAACAATAGACCAAGCCGAACGAAGGCCATTTAACCCACTTCCGACTGTTGGGCGAAGAAACGCCCACAAGTGCATCGCCCCGTAAAATACTTGCTAGAGTCCAGGGTCCTCTAATTTCCTGGAAACAGAACAAACATTACGGTTGGCAAGCAGAGAATTTATGTTTGCACAAAACGCTTTTGATAAGGTAAATAAAGAGGTAGCTCAGTTTTTAAATGGCTCTCACATTTTTGGGTTTAATTTTGTGAAATATGCAATACCACAATTGTAACTCTCTTTCATCAAAAAGGACTTGTGTTGATCCTTACCGACTACCACAAACTTTTTGGTTTTTATGTAATATTTGTGTACTGTTTCCGACAAATATAAAGGGTTTGGGTAGACAAACAGTTGGTGCGTTTAATTTTGTGAAATATGCAGAGGTGTCATGGGTAATAAAATGTGTAAGACAATGTTAGCAGTACACTAGTTTTAAATTTAATAGTTTTTATTTTCTAAAACATGCAATCAATTAATGTGTAACAAAAAATGAATACAGATATATTTTAAATACATATTTATGCTTTCATCTTCGGTCTTTCTTACATAATCGCATTGTCATCTGTCCCAAAAAACTTTCTCTTTTACGAAGGCAGCTTAAGTCGTTTTAAAACATCTTGGTATTAATTGAATTTTCTGCCTTGCTGGCAGCTTTCTAATCGCCTTTCATTGGCCATGTAAAACACAAATTAATGGCAATCAACATTTCTGCCCATTTGCACTTGATAATGGAAATTATTTAATATTTACGGGCTCAATTGGGCACGCAACAATCGCGCTAATGAACTGTGTAATTCATTTAGGCGGCGGAAAGAAGTCGCATCAAGTGTTGAGAAGCGGGTGGCAATTGTGGCCGTAATTGAATGGCGCTTAGCGAAACCAAATCGCAGCTTTATGTCGCTCTTTAGAGGCACTTGCAAAGTGCGGAGAACAAGTGGCTGTCAGCCGCCATCCGGCATAAAATGCACAAACAAAGCGCGTTTAAGAAAATGTAAAAATACTGCCAAAGTATGCAAAGCTGCTCGTAAAAACACTCGAAACTACGTGCATGCAGCTCGTCGAGCGTCCTGCGTCTTTCGTCCTTGAGAGGGAATTTTGTGTGGAGCTTTTGATAGTTGCTTAGCTGCATCCTTCCATGACCGGTTTCCTTCCTGAGAATCCATCAGCGCTAATTTTGCATATTTCAGTTACCATTTTTTGTTCGGCTTCAACTACTGAGCTCCTTTCATTTCAGTGCACTTTACTCGCCTTTTGTTTGGCTTAGCCGGCTGGTGACTTGTGTTTTTTTTTGTTTTTTTTTACCAGCCTCAATGCTCGAGGTTATTTAAGTTATGCAGTGTCTGAGGAGAAAGGTCGGCGAGATCTTGGTCCTGATGATGAATTATGTGCGCCACGTACGTTATTAATAATTCCTGTGCTGTCAACAAATACATTGTCTTGTGCCGCACTGTCTACTTCCCACGCTAAGGGCCACATTGCGTATGCGTGATATGTTTGTATGGGCCCCAAACTAGGCATCATCCAAATTTATTGGCCATCTTGTTTTGCAGCAGAAACCGAATTCGAATCGAGAGTCCCTCGACGACCTACGCAATCTGTTTACAACTCAGTGGGGGGGATGGAAATACCCATGCCACATCACGCATACGCCGTGTATTACGGCACAACCCATTCGCTCATCACGCATACGCCATGTATTACATCATAGCCACTGTTTGTTTGCACATTGTACACATTTTACACACAGTACAGTCTGCAGTGGCTGGAGTGGCAAAGTTAATGGGCGGAAAAATTCAACTCAATCAATTACCAGGACAACACACTCGGCCAGTTGAACATGTGTAATTGATACGAGTCCTTAAAGGTGTTTTGTGTTATTTATGTTGGCACTCCTTTGCCCAGCACCGCGTGCAAGCACTTTCAACTTGAGTATTCCATGTGTTAACAGGGCCACTTCATTTCGGCAATTAAACGGTTACATTGTGCTTTGCCTACTTCTCTAGGGGGAAGGAATTAAGAGCCGGTAGTGGAGAAATAAATCATTTGTCAAATCAATTTATTAACAGGCATCACAATGCTTGGGTGAAATTAGCTAATTATTCGGTGGTCGGCAGTTTGATGATTAAATATTTCATACGCTCCGACTGACACCGCCTGAGTTTGTCCAGGCAGAAATCACAAATGTCTGACGATTTCCCCCGGCTGCCATGGCCCCAAAACCAAACACTGCAGCATTAATTAAATATTTATGCACTATACACAAGTAAACAGACAGCATACACACACACTGGCGAGGCCAAACAGAGCGCAACAAATAAAGACGGTCAATTCTGTTACGGCACGGTGACTCGAGGAGTAACAAGGATATACAAACACGCACATACAACTCGTACTTGAACTCTCTTACTTGTCCTCACATTCATGTACCAGTACTTGCCTTTATTTACCGCTTTAACATGTAAGCTCAAGACAATGCAATAAAGTTGAAATTAGTTCGGGCCATAATTTCAGGTGAACATCCGGAGGCAATGCAAACTGGTTCATCCGGTTGTCAGTACAATTGGCTGACAATCGTCCTGCTGCTGGGCCTTGTCCTTTGCTACAGTCAACGGTGCTGCTCCACACTGCCGGCATCATTAACGTCGCCATCGCCATTACCATCACCATCATCATTGCCGGCGGCTGCAACGGGAGAAAGTGCATCCAGTGAAAGTGTGGCAGCCGCAACAGCAACAAAAACAGCAGCAGCAGCAGCAGTAACAACAACAACAGCCACGAGGAAGCGGTGTCCTGCGGTGAAAAGCTGTCGCCAGACCGCCAGTAATGTCCTGGCCAAAAGGTCCTGTCACAGATGATCGAATGAAGGCCACAACAGCCCCAAACTAAATAGAGTAATTTAAAGAGCCACATGAAATGTGTGCGAGTGAGTGTTTGGTTAAGTATCTCTGAGTGTGTGAATGATCGTTTGAGTGTTTGCTATTCAGCCGTTTAGTGTGTCAGTTTTAAACTTGTACTCAAAACCAAATAAAAACCACAATGCAAAGCAATGGCGCAGCAGTGGATTTAATTTAATCAAATCAAACTTCATTTTCTGAATGATTTTCCTGCACAATAAAATAAATATCAAAGTTTTCTTGATCTTAAATCGATTCTCTTAATCTGATTTAAAATTTTCAATATATACATATTTCATTCAAATTGTTCAATAATTTCTTATTTGCTTTTTCAAAAAAAAGGTTATAATTAAATAATCAAATTATGCTTTAATATATCTCAATAATACTTTAAAGTACATATAAAGTACAATATTATCATGTTTTTATTTATTACCAATACTGTTGAATATAAATGACTTTCTCAAAAAACAGATAAAATTAATAATCTCAAAAGTATACATACTTTATGCCTTTATAGATGTTTTTAATATTTATATGATTGACAGTCTTTTTTCTATATTTGATGTGTTTAATTTGTATTTGTTACGTTCACTTATTTACCTATTCCTAAAAAACCGCCACATTTTCATTAAATAAAGTTAATTAAAATATTCATAGTGAACCTTTTTCTACTGCCCAAGCCGTTGTAATGCAATGTATTTATATAAATAATACTATGTGTAAGCTAATTGATTACAATTTAATGTGTATATTTAAACAAAATCAAAATTTACTATACGATGTGTGTAAATAACAAACTTAAACATAATTACGGCTTAACCGAAGCGAGGCATGCAAAAAAATGTGTATCGCAAACATTATAGGAATGAGTAATATCTATGCCCAGCGGCGTTGACTCTTTTAATAAATTAATGAATAATCAAATAAAGTGCAGTGTACAGTGCAAGTGCCGAGGCTCAATATTCAATAATTAGATAAAAACGTAGACAAGCCAAAAAGCAACAAAATGAGAGCAGCAGTGAGTCATAAAACATTTAAATTGATTGCCATATCATGCAAATATTTGCACTGCGCCATTTTCATCCCAAGCCAAATTCAAATTCAATTTTCTGTTTTATTCACCCGCACAAAATACAATTTATTTAATTTTTTATTGCATTGATATTAATGTCACAATTTTATAATTGACGGTAAACCAGGCTGCCACATTTGGTAATGATTAAAAAATTCTCTTCGTATTTATCTAATAATTCTTTAAAGCGGCTGAAATATTTTCATCGAAACGTTCATTTAGACTGTATTTTAATGGCATTTGACACTATTTCCCCTTAGCTTAATATTGGTTTCCCATTAGCTTAGCAACCTTAATTAAAAACACCGTTTTCGTGTTAAATGACGACCAGCTACAAAACACGCATCAAGTAATTTTGTATGATTATTTTTTCAAACTCGAAATGCAGTAATTGGCAATAGTGTACAGTAAATACACAAATAATTATAACCAATAAAAAAAGATTTCCTATTCCACCCAATAAATTCATTTAATTGGGCATTAAAATGTTAAGAACTAAAATATCAGATTTGATTTCAGGTGATAGAAAAAATTAAAATGACTTTGTTGACATACCGCAAATAATATAATTCATAACTATTATAATTGTAAAACAACAATTCCATTGGCCTGGATCTCAAACGATTTATATAGGCCCACATTGACTAACATTTGCTATTCAAATCAAGCAATAACCAATTAAAACTTATTGAGAACGCTTGGCCAATTAAAATGTGATGTGATTTCCCCCATCTTGTGTTTGGACACAATTATAATGAAACATAATTCGGAATTATGCATTGCCATTTTGTTTGTTGCGGCCACAGAAAGGTAAAATTAATTTTATTAATTTCCGTTAAGCCGTAAAAATAATGTTAGTCATAAGCTGATTTTATAAGAGTATTATCTGGCGAATTGGGTAATAAGAGATAATGCTGCATTTCCCAAATGCCGACTTGGTTGCTAAGGGAATTTATTTAAATTTGTATTAACAAATTAAAATATTGTCGAAGATTCCAAGTATATAATTGATTTTTAATCAACATTTATTTAATAACCCTTTTTAGTTTCTTAATCATCATTTCAAGTTTAAATTCCTGGTTCAATTACCATTTCCCCATCCTTTCGTTTCTGACTTGAGCTCATCTCCAAATTGTTAATGCAACCAATCAAAAATATAAGCAGTCGCCTACAAATAAATATATATACTTGAGTTTAAGTGTGAATACAAACATATGCCAGCCAAATTGGAATTCTAACTCAACGGAATGCTAATGCCATAAGCCCACACGCATTTGCCATCAACCTTTAAAGCGCAGTACATAAATAATTCATAATACATATGTAATCGTAGGACATCAGCTAAGTAATTCCTGTATATTAAAGTTAATTAGTGAAACTCTAGAGTTATGCATTAGCCAAGTAAATTTACATTCTATGTGTGACTAACGACACATAGTTAAATAGTTGTAATAAAGCAATCGAACTGTGTAAAACGAACTACTTTTAACTGTTGAAATTAAACTAAATGGCAAACTAGTGAATGCATAACATAAATATGACATCATAAAGAAACATAGCAAAACATAACAATAATAAACAAATAGCAACGATAACAAAAGGTAAACAACAGGACGGAAAATATAAAACAAAAACAAAAAAAAAAACACAGAATAATTGTTTGTCTTTTGCGCAATCATTGTCGCCACAGTATTGTAAAACAACAAGAGTAAAAAGCGATACGATTAAAATTTTTTATTTAAAAATTAACCCATCCGTGGCGTTTTCATTCGGGGGCTTAGCTGTGTTAAAGGCACTGCCTGCTCAATTATTTATGCAAACTACAAGGGAACCCCAGCAGCTGGCTGCATCCTCCAGCGGCAGTCGAAGAAATGAAAAATAAGCTGCAACGTATGCGTGTGTCACATGTAATCGCTGGATTATAGACAGCTCGGCCAGGAGTTCAGTATGGCAGGATGGCAGGATGGCAGGCGTTGAAAACTGGGTCAGCAAATAAATCGAAAAGGCTTAAAACAAGGAAAAGGAGAGCCCATAGAACAGCTATGGACAGCCAAAGCTTATGCACACCGAACAGATTGCTCCCGGGCATAAAGTAGGATGTCTCCAGAAGGACATGGGTATTGTAAGCATGTGGGCGGTGTACGAGTGTGAGCAACTCAAAACAATTTACATTTGTTGTCCTGCTGATGTGTTGCAAAAACACAGGACATTCTTCCTTTTCTAATTACTTTCAGCTCAATTCACGTGAGAGAAAATAAATGGAGCTCACGCCCGAGCTATTCTAAAGTATTTAAAAGGTATGTGGTTGCTTATTCAGCAATGCCATGGTACTCATATATTCATTAGGGAAGTTTTAACTTACTAATGACTACTTTTTATAAAAACTTTTAAAGTGTAACTTTTCTTTTATTTTTGATTTATTTTTTTATATTTTTCTATGCTTCGTACTTTGTTAAACTACTTCATTATATTTTGAATCAATTTGATTTTTAGTTTACGTTTACCTCACTTATGGTTTGATGTATGCTATATACTATAATTATAAGACTAAATTTATTAACAATAGCTTTTGAAAAACAAAAATTCATAAGGACTATGATTATAGTAAGTTTTTGATTATTTCCCAATTCCATTTGTCTTTTTTGGAGCTTGACACCATGTTTAATTATAAATTAACTGATTTGAAATTGAATAATTTTGAATGTCCGTTTGGCCTCTAAAGTTTTGGCAGGCGATCACGCGAAACCGCAATTGAAAGCGAAATATAGGTGTAATTTGGACCAGCTCATTAATTAACTATTTCTTCATTGGGCAGCTGTGAAACGCAGAAATGCAGCTGTAATTCCATTAAATTGCGCCGCAAATCCCAGCTTATCCGCATGCCTGTCTGCGTTCGAATTCAAAATAATAACAAGAAAGGAAAGCTAACTTCGGGCGGAGCCGAAGTTGATATACCCTTGCAGAATACTCTGTAAATTATATTCTCCAAAATTATTCATATGATGCATTCTTAATACTCATAAAAAATCCGAACTTCCTAACTTTAACAACAACAAAGTTATGGCATTTCCAATCGTTCAGTTATATGGCAGCTATAGGATATAGTCGGCCGATCCTTATGAAATTTGATAGGTCGGATTGATTGTTTGCCAAAAATAAAATCCATAGAAAATCCCAACTTCCTAACTTTACAAACACCAAAGTTATGGCATTTCCGATCAATCAGTTATATGGCAGCTATAGGATATAGTCGGCCGATCCTTATGAAATTTGGTAGGTCGGATTGATTGGCCAAAAATAAAATCCATAGAAAATCCCAACTTCCTAACTTAACAAACACCAAAGTTATGGCATTTCCGATCAATCAGTTATATGGCAGCTATAGGATATAGTCGGCCGATCCTTATGAAATTTGGTGGGTCGGATTGATTGGCCAAATATAAAACCCATAGAAAATCCCAACTTTCTAACTTTACAAACACCAAAGTTATGGCATTTCCGATCAATCAGTTATATGGCAGCTATAGGATATAGTCGGCCGATCCTTATGAAATTTGGTAGGTCGGATTGATTGGCCAAATATAAAACCCATAGAAAATCCCAACTTCCTAACTTTACAAACACGAAAGTTATGGCATTTCCGATCAATCAGTTATATGGCAGCTATAGGATATAGTCGGCCGATCCCGGCCGTTCCGACTTATATACTGCGTGCAAAGGAAAGAAGGGTGTGTGCAAAGTTTCAATCCGATAGCTTTAAAACTGAGAGACTAGTTTGCGTAGAAACAGACAGACGGACAGACGGACAGACGGACAGACGGACATGGCTATATCAACTCAGGAGGTGATCCTGATCAAGAATATATATACTTTATAGGGTCGGAGATGTCTCCTTCACTGCGTTGCACACTTTTGACCAAAATTATAATACCCTCTGCAAGGGTATAACAATAATGCGACGCTGCGGCCATCCTTTGACCGCAGGCAGCCCAAATACCCGTAGTCTGTTCTGTATACTCGGCGGAATGCAATGAGACCCCAAAGTTGGGGCCACGATTTTAAGGCCATTTTGCGACTGCCGACTGCCGACTGCGTTGGCATAAAAATATTTATACGCTCACTTGAGTCCAAATTGATGCGCGCTGCTTATGCAAATTTCTGGTTGCCTAAGCAACCGCAGTGCCAAGCTGTTGTTAGCTGGATTTTGAATTTGTAGAATGGGCGGGCAGTAGGCCCGAAATCCCGACCCGGACATGGGCATGTAATTTGGCCTGATAGATTCTGCTTAATGGCTGGCATTAGACACATTTGTTGCCTGTGTGCCATGGCCACAGGAACAGCAGAGCAGAGCCA